CCCCTTACATCACTCCCCCCCCCCTTACATCTACTCACTTTCCCATCCACTACCCCTCCTTCTACATCTACTCACTCTCCCATCCACTACCCCTCCCCTTACATCTACTCACTTTCCCATCCACTACCCCTCCTTCTACACCTACTCACTCTCCCATCCACTACCCCTCCCCCCTACACCTACTCACTCTCCCATCCACTACCCCTCCCCCTTACACCTACTCACTCTCCCATCCACTACCCCTCCCCCCTACACCTACTCACTCTCCCATCCACTACCCCTACCCCCTACATCAATCTGCTTCCTCTCCTTGTTATATTTAGCTTCTTGGTGCTAGCTAGTGTAGCTAGGTATTGCTGTGTTTGTCGTCCAATTTTCAGTGGGAAGGAACCACTACACACGAGGAGGGCAACCAGGGCACTTACCATCGACGTCCGGGTCAAAATTCCAGCCATGGAAAAAAGCTGCCATGCTGACCACAACACACTTGTAAGTTTCCCCACAACACCTCGCCCACACACCCACTAAACTAATCAGTAAACATAGTTTGGATTTCGAAAGCAGCGGTGTTTTACAAACTTAGAATCAGAAGGACTGCATTACAAGGCCCCAACGACGTTTAATTACGGAAGAATTACGCGGATCGCTGCCGCGAATAACTACAAACAATAGAACAGCCACCGTCGAACAGTTTCGTATACTTACTTTATTTGTTGTATATGAATCCCATACTATTAATTTTCCATCTTGTGATGCTGATACCAAATATCTGAAAGATAAAAATGAAGTCACGCTATGAAACGTCTTGCCAAACGTCTTAACATATAAAAAAAAAATGTTAAAATGGTTAGCATAACATGGATTATAAAGCGGTAACTGTGCAGACACATACATTGGTGCTTCCTAAAAGGGTGCAGGGGACATTCATACGCATGCAAAACACGTGAAACAGGAAACCTTCCTTCTAAAGATACGTACAGTTCAGTTCTGAATTTTTAATCAGCATGCACAATTCAGACACACCGCAATTAGACGCTTGTTTACAAGTTTGAATATAAGTTAGTATAATTGCTAGAGTCTAGAGTTAATTAAATTAGATTATACAGTGAAACCTATTGGTGACATGACACTATTGCTAAGGTGCAGCAACCTAATAAAATCTACAAAACTCATTACTTACAAGGAAAAGGAGACTGTGGCAAGCAGGTACGACATTGAGTGGGAGAGAAGGATGGGCGTGATGTGTGGGAGGAAAGAAGAAGAAGAACAGGGAGAGAAGAGGGGAGGGAGCAAAGAATGGAGAGGGTAGGAAGCGAGGTAGCCAGAAAAGGAGGAAGCGAGAGAGCAAGGGTAGGAGGAAGAGGGCGAGGGAAGAAGGGAAGAAGGGAGAGAGCAAGAGAAGCAGGAAGGGAGAGAGTAAGTGAAGGCAGAAGGGAGCGAGCGAGGGAAGAAGGGAGCGATGGAGTGAGGAAAGGAAGAAGGAAGAGAGTATGGAAAGAAAGAAGGAAGAAAGCGAGGGAAGGAGGAAAAAAGAGTGAGGGAAAAAGAAGAAGGAAGAGAGTAAAGTAAGAAAGAAGGAAGAGAGCGAGAGAAGGAGGAAAGAAGCGAGCGAGGGAAGGATGAAGGAAGAGAGTATGGGAAGAAAGAAGGAAGAAAGCGAGGGAAAGAGGAAGGAAGAGAGTGAGGGAAAGAAGAAGGAAGAAAGTATGGGAAGAAAGAAGGAAGAGAGCGAGGGAAGGAGGAAGGAAGAGAGTGAGGGAAAGAAGAAGGAATAGAGCGAGGGAAGAAGGAAGAGAGAGCGAGGGAAGGAGGAAGGGATGGAGCGACAAAGAGAGGGCAGTAATACATGCATTCATCGTGATGACCAGTGTTAACCGACTAAATTTATTATTAGCAAACGCACCAGAAAGTAATCTAATATTAAATTTACACGGCTCCGGCAGTTCATGCACACCACCACCACCACCGCCCCACACTGCCGGAGCCATGCAAAGACACAAGCGTGACCTTTGCCCCCAAGGTGCATCTACAAACAAACAACGTGCTTCCCTCCCCCGCCCCCTCGAGCATTTTTAATCACATTAAGTAAGATATAGAGTGACTCGCCGCGGCTTGATATTTGATTTAGACGCCAAAAAAACCAACAACAAAAAAACAATTCCACTCAATAACGAGGGGGAAACATTTTCGAGAGCATTTTTTTTTCCTCTTTTCGTAAGCAGAGACAGAGCAGTATACCCTGACATCAGACGGATGGGTCGTAATCACCATGCGCGCTCATAAACGAAGATGCCGATAATGAATTTTTTCTCTCTCGCCCATCTCCCGATGATGCCCCCATTCGATTCCGCCGCGCGCTCCACACACACACGCACACGCACGCGCGCACACGCACGCGCACACTTTGATCGCGTCACATGCAACATGCATAGCAAGCGAGCGAGTGAGTGAGTGGGTGACTGGACTAGTCGTGCAGTAGTATGACATAGCAGACCGGGCAGTGGTCTGCAGCAGTAGCACGGGTGCGACACATGACGCCAACAGACGCCACGCCCCTGCGCAGCTGATCCTGCCCTCTCCGATTCGATCACCTCTCTCTCTCTCTCTTTCTTTCTTTCTATCTCGTTCTATCTCTCTCTCTCTCTCTCTTTCTCTTTCTTTCTTCCTCTCTCTCTCTCTTTCTCTTTCTTTCTTTCTCTCTTTCTTTCTCTCTCTCTCTCTCTCTCTCTCTATCTCTCTCTCTCTCACTCTCGTTCTCTCTTTCTTTCTGTCACTCTTCCCCACCCCCTCTCTCTCTTTCGTCACTCTCTCCCCCTCTATCTCACTCTCACTCTCTCTCTCTCTCTTTCTTTCTTTCTTTCTTTCTTTCTCTCTCTCTCTCTCTCGCTCTCTATCTCTACCCCCTGCTCCCCTTCTCTTTCTCCTCTCTCTCTCCTCTCTCTCTCTCCCTCTCCCCTCTCTCTCTATCCCCGTCTCTTCCCCCCTCTCTCTCTCTCTCTCTCTCTATCCCCTTCTCTCCCTCTATCTCTCCTCTCCTCTCTCTCTTTCTATCCCCTTCTCCCCCTCTCTCTCTCCTCTCTCTCTTTCTATCCCCTTCTCCCCCCTCTCTCTCCTCTCTCTCTCTCCGAAGGCAGGATCAGCTGAGCAGAGTGCGGCGCCGGCAGAAACGAGAGAAGTGAACCTACCCTCCTGAGCTGTAGGTCGGCAACGAGATATGAAAAACAAAAACAGGTACACGTTAGACAAGGCAATGACGCAGTAGCGGCCGATCGATCGATCGATCGATCGACGCGATCGATCCCCCAGAAATCGGAGAAGCTATTGATAGACAATAAGCAAGACACGAAAGAGACGGTTCAGTGACAGAGCCACTATACACATACACGTATACACTATACACGTATGTATGCACGTATAAGGTGTTGCGACTGACAGGTAAGGTGTTGTCCAGGCTGGCCCGCCAGCGAAATTTTTTTTCCCACGAGAGTTCCGGACCCCAGCCAATCAGCGCACTCCATTCACTCGACTACCTCGAAGCAACAATGCAAAATTTATACAACCTAACCCTAACCCTAACCCTAACACTAACTATAATACAACCAGGTCCGTCTTATATACGCACCATATATTACAAAACACTATCTGTGGTGGGTCCGGAACTCTCGTGGGAAAAAAAATTTCGCGGCCCGCCACAACACACAGTACAGTAGTAGAGAATAACATCGACCAATAGATTACACACACACAGTCAGTTTAGTCAGGAGAAACATCATATCACAGGGCTGTAGCCTGCTGGCGGTGTAGGGGTGGTGTGTGTGTGTGTGTATGTGTGTGTGT